TATTGCGCATGTGGGAAGTGGTGAAGTGAGTCCGCACTGAGTTTGCGGTTGTTGTCAGATTCATAAAGGTGTAACCGTAATAGATGTCAGATACATTTATAAAAGTTAATGTGCCCTGATTTGGGATGAAGACACCCGTGTCTCTCGGGTTTGGTACAGTCATAATAAGGGCATACTCACACTAGTAGTTTCCTAAATGTATCTGACTGCTATTACAGTCGAATGTGGATGAATCAAACTACAATCACGTCAACATCTATAGGAAAAAATATTCTAGCATGAGTATGCCCTGTCTTTTTTTTTTTTAATTTATAAATATGAAATTTGAAAGGCATGGAGTTATTATCATTAAACTGTCGGCCCCATGGTATTCAGAATTATCATATTTTTTTCAGCGGCCTCATGGACTCAAACTTCAGTCTATATTTCAATAGTTGAGTAGTGTACGGATTGACCCCCCTCTCCAAATCTTTAGGAATCTCAGCTCACTGTGCCCTGCCTTGCTGGCAGTGCGGGAAATAAAAAAAAAAGAAAAGAAAAGAGAATTACACGAGTGAAAACAAAGTTAAGGCAAAGAAACGAGGTACAACCTCCTTTTCGTTCGATTGGGTGGCAACAGGTTCAACACTTAGTTTTCAAAGAGGTCCCCAAAGAGGTTCCCATTGCTGCCTCCCGTAGGAGTCTGGGCTATGTCTCAGTCCCAGCGCGGCTGATCATCTGAAAAGACCAGCTACGCTCATCGGCTTGGTCAGCCTTTACCTAACCAAAGAGATCCCCAAAGAGGTCCCCACTGCTGCCTCCCGTAGGAGTCTAGGCTGTGTCTCAGTCCCAGCGCGACTGATCATCCCAAAAGACCAGCTAAGCATCATCGGCTTGGTCAGCCTTTACCTAATCAACTATCTAATACTCGGCAGACTCATCAAACAACGCTAAAAACTTTGACCATCTCGCTAAATTGACTATCTAGACTGTTTGGGATTTTTCCCGGACTGTTTGGTGCTAGACTGTTTGGGATTTCCCCCAAACCGTCTGGTAGATTGTAGGGTATTTGGGATTTTTCCCAGACTGTTTGGTGCTAGACTGTTTGGGATTTCCTACAAATTGTCTGGTAGATTCCCACGCGTTACGCATCTGTGCCACTTTGTTTTCAACTGAGAAAACCGGTACCACATTACGCATCCGTGCCACTTTGTTTTCAACTGAGAAAACCGGTACCACCCTAAATTTGGCAAGCGGCGGTACCGAGCACTTTCAAGCTTGCCAAAATGAACTTTTGGGTTCGTCAACCTTGGGCTTTCCTTCACTTCCGACAATGTTGTCAATACGTCTGAAAGGGACGGCTGTCCAGGTACAAAGAATATTGAGTCAGTTGGAATGTCTTTGGTTGTCAAAATAGGTAAGGCTTGGACACCACTGGCCGGTGGCGGGAAAAGTTTCGGCGTGGAAGGGCGATTTCGGAACCCATTGGCCCGCCATGAGTTTTTTTTGGGGAATGCGAACATCATTTTCAGACCCCACTGGCATTCTGGAAACAATGTTGGCCGTGTTTCTACATGGCTGGCGGCTGGAAAATCTCTGCTAGAAACTGGCGGTCCTTTTCCAAAACGTCCTCCAGCAGGGTAGGGAGTGCAAAGTGCCAACCATTGGCATTGGAGGCCGGCGAGGTGTGGTACAGTGAACGGGCGTCTTGGACATACTTTTGGTCCAGGCCGAAACGGCACGTCGTAGACTCATCGAAACTGGCCGTTGGTGGTCCGCTGGTCCACGCGGGCCGTCCGTACTTTCCTTTTCGGGAGGTGCCCCTCTTGGGTTTCCTAATGCGGCAAGCATGACCGTTTCCAAAACCCCGCCAGAAATCGGCAGTGTGGTAGCCTCGAAACGTGTCAATTCCTTTCCACCAATGTTGGCCACAAACCGGCGGCCGAGAACCTTCTCCAGCCGCTAGTGGGGGCCAAGCCTAAGAGTGAACTGGCTGACCTTGGACTTTCCTTCACTTCTGACAATGCTGTCAATACATCTGGAAAGGGCCGGCTGTCCAGGTACAAAGAATATTGAGCCAGTTGGAATGCATTTGGATAAATCTCCAGCTGACCTACATCTACAATGTTATGTATTGGATGGATAGTATCTGGAAATGAGCATTGTCAGGAACACACTCCGAATATTGGGTCAGTTGGCACGTACTTGGACAATGTCCTCCGACCTAGATACATCATACATCTAAATTGTGGCAACGGAGCCAGCATCTTCTTTTTTCTGTCATCCATTCCATCGTTCTTTGGTAGTACGCATCGATCTCATCCTTGGCAGTCCGCATCTATCTCATCCTCTCACTACCGGTAGTCTACTACGGGGGAACACCGACCAACCCAGATCTCCCCAGCCCACGGGTGAGGGCCAGGGGCAAGGTCCCACTTGCACGTATTACGAGAATCTGGCCGTTGATCTTCGCTATCTACGGTCAATATCGCTTCATTCGTGTAAGTGGGACCTAGCCCCAGGCCTCACTGGTGACCTCCCCGCACCACTCGCCAAATGCACAAAAGAGGCCACATTCTAGACGATGTATATGTCCACGTTCTAGGGACAGGCTCGCTCTAAGGGCATCCCCACACCACTCTCGAAATGTGCAAAATGAGAATGAACTTTTTGCTAGAACACGGCCAGATGCGCCCGCCACTTTTTTTTTTTTTTCTCATTTTTCTTGCTAGTACTCATCTATCTCATCTTCTCACTAGTGTGTGTAGTACGGGGGGACACCAACCAACCCGGATCTCTCCCCAGGTCTTTTCCACATTTCGAGAGTGCTGTGGCGAGGCCCTAATTTTGCACATTACCGCGAGTGGTGTGGCGAGGCCTTCACGTGCATGCCACGTGCCACGTGACGCACTAACCTGGCCACTTTTCATCCAGGACAGGGGCTATGTCCCACTTACACGAATTAAACGATATTGACCGTAGATAGCAAGGATCGACGGCCATAATCTCTTAATCCGTGCAAGTGGGACCTTGCCCCAGGATCGTGATTTCCAACAACTTCCACTTTCACTGCTATCTCCGTCTGTATCGAAGTTCAATTCAAGAAAGATGGGACCCTGAGGGCCTCGTTGCACTACTCGCCATCCGCCAAGATTTCGAATGCATCTGGACGAAAACGATGTCCACATGCAATCAAAATATTGGCGGATGGCGAGTAGTGCAACGAGGCCCTCAGAGGTTGAAGAGGTGGGGGGGGGTTGCACGAGTTATGACCGTAGATAGCAAAGATCAACGGCCCAAATTATCTCCTAATTTCCAAAAGTGGGAACTTTTTTTTTTTTAAATTTTTAATTTTTATTTAAACAAATGGGAACTTGCTTGGCCCCGGTAGGCGGGTAGTGGTCGTGGGACTTGGCTTCGTCGGGGTTTCACAATTGGAGATTGCGACGAGACGACCTTAGCGTCCGACGTCTTACAGTGAGGGCGCGAACGGAGGTGAATTTCAATTTCAATTTCAATTTTGAGTGTCGTTCAGTTTTGGTGATTCAAAAAAGAAAGAACTGATTCAAGCCAGTGCCATTTCATCGACGGGCGACCAAATTGTGTGCCGCGGCTGAGGACATCAGTCGTTTGTTTTCGCTCCCCTACTCAAACACTCTATCTACATGCATTTGGACGCCTTCTGGACCAGGTGAGTTTGGAGGAGTCCCACATTTGGAATGTATGCGGACGATTATGAGCTCCACATACATGTAGCGTGTTGTGTAGTGGAGCGAGACCCGTTACCATACCTTATACCACATAGCGTACGACTTGTTTCTGGAAGGAATTGCGCGTACAACTTGTTTCTGGAAGGAATGGCGGCCAGATGCATGCAGATCGGGTCCTAAATGCAGTCAGATACATTCGAAACAGCGCTACTGTGAGTACGCCATTAGATGACATCATCCATTACTTTTCGTTTTTTTTTTTTTTTCCATCCACTCAGTCCGTCTTTGGTTCTTATCCAATCTTTGTCGTAAAAAAAAAAAAAAAAAAAAAAAAAAAAAAAAAAATCTTCGTCGTACGCTCTCCGACTGTTCATGGAATTTTCACTCAGGGTTATATATATAGTACTTTCCAAAACGCATCAGACTGCAATGACTGCGAGGCCTGAATGAATCTGACCGCGATCGCGTCCAGAGCGTCGTCGACAAAGTCCGAGTGTGAGTAGGCCCGCATTTGCTTTCCAATCTATGGGCGTTGCTGCACTACCGTAGTCTTCGAATGTGCAAAATGAGAATGAATCTTCCGTTAGAACATGGAAAGATACACGGCATATTTTTTTGTCTTTTGTGCATGTGGAGAGAGCAGTGGAGCGAGTACAACATCTAATCTATGTCCACAAGCTACGTACAACCTGAATGAATCTGACCGCAATGAAGGTCGGATTCATCTAGCCTAACCTTATCTCATCTAATCTATGCACAAGCTACGTACAACCTAAATGAATCTGACTGTAATCCAATCTCATCTAATCACTAAAAAATAATAATAATAATAAAAAATCTAATCTAATCTAATCTAATCTAATCTACTCTACTCTACTCTAATCACTAAAAAAAAATAAAAAATAAAAAAAAATCTAATCTATTCTAATCTAATCTAATCTAATCTCATCTAATCTATCCACAAGCTACGTCCAACCTGAATGAATCTGACGGCAATGAAGGTCAGCTTCATCTACCCTAACCTAATTTAATCTATCCATGAGCTATGTACGACCTGAATGAATCTGACTGCAATGACTGCCAGACCTGAATGAATCTGACCGCAATGAAGGTCAGCTGGTCTTCATGGTGTGAGAATGGTACGTATGCACGTTTATGTTTGAACCTTGTGCTCGTCCTCTGACGTGGCTGCTTCCTGATGCCTATCCCTCGAAGGACGTCTACCCGTCTTCACGCGAATAGAACGCCCGGTCATCACAGCCGTATTTGGTGCAACTTTCGGTCTACATACAGCGATAGTAACCGGGCGTTCTATTCGGGTTCGGGTAAAGACGGTAGTATGGTTTGTCTATGTTTGTCGAGGTCGTTTACCCTTTCTCGTGGTGGTGGTCCTCCTCTTCCTCCTCTACCTCCTCCTCCTCCTTCTCCTCCTCCTCCTCTACCTCCTCCTCCTCCTCCTCCTCCTCTTCTTCCTCCCCCTCTTCTACCGCCTCCTCCTCTTCTACCTCCTCCTCCTCCTCTACCTCCTCCTCCTCCTCCTCCTCCTCCGCTACCTCCTCTTTCTCGTCCTTCTCCTTTATCTCCTCCCCCTCTTTTATCTCCTCCTCTTCCTCCTCCTCCTCCTCCTCTTCCTCCTCCTCCCCCTTGTTTGCTATTTGCCCTCTATCTCTGTCTAGACCAATCGTCCGGTTGCCAATCAACGGTCGTTACCGTCTTCTCCTGAATGTCATGCACCCTGGTAATAAACGTATACAACCTATCTTTCCGGCCAGATACAGTCATAATGAGGGTGCGTTGTTTTCCGGGGGAAGACGGTTGTAGTATTTCATGTTCTTTTTTTCGCCTGCTGTCATYTTGACAGTCAAGCGTCCTTTTTTTTTTTTTTTTTTTTTTTTTGTGTGTGTGTGTATAAGCGTCCTCCTTGGGCTCGTTGTCACCCTTTTTTTCCTTTTTTTTGGTCTTTTTTCTTTCCATTCCCCCTCCCCCCCGGCCCCCCCCCCGGTGGTTTGCGTATTTGCCCTCCGCCGTGCGATGTCGTTTGCCCTAGAGGCCATTGAATGATTGCCGCTGCGATCTTCATCCTGGCATTCATGATTCTCCTCCATCTCCCATCCTTCTCTCCTCCCCCTCCTTCCTCCCTCCTCTCTCCTCCTCTTCCCTCCCCCCCCTCCCACCTCACTTTTTTTCTCTCGATCCCTGACCTCATGGACCACTCCCTCCCTCTCCCATTTCCGCTCTCCTATTTACAATATTGTCTTGATGCTCCCCTCTCCTCCTCCTCTCCCTTCTCCCTCTCCTCCTTCTCTCCCTTTTCCTTCTCCCTCTCCTCCTTCTGTCCCTTTTCCTTCTCCTTCTCCTCCTCCTCTCCCTTTTCCTTCTCCCTCTCCTGATTCTCTCCCTTTTCCTTCTCCCTCTCCTCCTCTCCCTTTTCCTTCTCCCTCTCCTCCTCCTCTCCCTTTTCCTTCTCCCTCTCCTCCTTCTGTCTCTTTTTCCTTCTCCCTCTCCTCCTTCTCTCCCTTTTCCTTCTCCCTCTCCTCCTTCTCTCCCTTTTCCTTCTGAGAACTGTGCATTTCACTATTCTTCTTCTTCCCCCCCTTTTCTTTCTCTCTCCGTGGCTATCGCGTCTACTCTTTTACATCCACGATAGCCATGTTCTAGCGGAAGACTTATTCTCATTTTGAAAAAGGTCCTCGGCAAAAAAAAAAAAAAAAAAAAAAAAAAAAAAAACCTCGGAAAAACAAATATGTTATGCAGAAAAATATACTGAACAACTTTTGCCTTGTGGTCATATCGAAAAACGTTACTGAAAAAAAAAAAAAAAAAAAAAAAAAAAAAAAGGTCCTCGGCGGCTCATTCATATCCCCGCGTAGTATTCTTTTCTCTTCGTCTTTCTTTCCTATCAGCCTCATTGGGGGGAAAGAATCCATTATATCATTTACAGTAATATGTTATATAGAAAATTCCATTATGTTTTATTATTTATATAATTAAAAATCCCGTTATATGTTTCGCTGTATATGACAGCTGGGGTTAAGGTGGATTTTATCACTTGATACTATCGTTCGTTAGGGGAATGTGCAGACTGTAGAGGGTTCAGCCTCCTGATAAGTTTTGTAAGTCGAAACTTCGACGAAACAGTTTGTCACAGTAGCCCCTCCCTCGTTTGGTGTTGTCCTCTTCTCCTCTTCTCCCTCCCTCCCTCTCTGCCTAGTACGGTTCACCGCCAGTTCTCTATGACGACACATACATATAACCTACATCCACGTGGGCGGGGCCGTGTACGCAAGAGGTTCTGAACAGGGGGAGTTGTAAATAAGAAGATAAAAAACGAATTCATTTTTTACTTCTTTTTTTTTTTTCTCTTTTTTTCGCTTTTGCGCTCTGATATTCCTGTGACAATATATTTATATATATATGTGACTATGTGACAATATATATATATCGGTGTGAAATCATGTGACAATATATATATATCATCACATGAATATGAGAGCGCAAAAGCGAAAAAAAGAAAGAATGAATTCGTTTTTTTATATCTTCTTCCTTGCAACTCCTCCTGTTCAGAACCTCTTGTGTACAAGGCCGCCCACGTGGATGTAGGTTGAGCGGCGGCTGCCCCCACCCCCGTGTGTCATATCGACCCACTTGCACACAGCCAGAAGGCAAAGAGGCAAAGAAAAGAGGAAGGGAACAGCCAAATAATACAGAACAGGGGGAAACAAAACAAATCCCAGATGACACGTCCCACATGCAAGCACCGCCCCAACTCACAGGCCAAACGACGGGACGAGACCAACCAGGATATCAAAACATTCTTGTCTGCAAAGAAAGCAAAAAGAACGGCTCCGATCCCACTGTGAGAGCCAAAAAGAAAGAGAAGACAATCCCGGATGACGATTCCCAGATACAAGCACCGCCCCGCGCTCAAAAGGCCGAACAACGGAAACAACCAACCAGGATGCCAAAAACCCGAATGACTGGTCCCACGTGAAAGCACCGCCACGCCCATAAAATAGCCCGAACAACGGGACCAAACCAACCGGGATACAGTCAAGATCACCAAAACAAATTCTACCATATCCATAGTTAAAAATACGGAACCATACAGTAGGTCCGTAAAACGAAATACCCCCTACAAAGGGGGAGAGCAACACAAGAAAATATGGGATGACAGGACGATGACTCAGGCTATTTTCGACGCAAATGAATTCTTGCATGCACTAACAAGAAAATCAAGAAAATATTATATATATATATATATAGGTGGAGCTTTCCTTACCTCTTCCCCTTCCCCTTTTTTCCTTTTCCTTTTTTCTTTCCCCTTTTGTGCGCTCTGATTCACAATGTGACAATATATATATATATATATATATATATATATCGTTAAGCACAGGAGCTGGCCGGTAAACCGTACTAGGCAGAGAGGGAGGGGAGGGAGAAGAGGAGAAGAGGAGAAGAGGACAATACCAAACGAGGGAGGGGCTGTGACAAACTGTTTCGTCGTAGAGTTTCACCTACCTACTCATCAGGAGGAGGCTGAGCTCTCATATATACCATTATCAATCTATTTCGACTGCCGCCGTCTGTACTGGAGGGTGTCCAACATTTCCTCATTGTACACATCCCTGTCACCCAGATATACGTTGTCCCGTTTGTGCGCAAGGACGCTATCAGCACTGCATGATGCCGCACTGTGATGAACGTCCTGCTGTTTTTTTTTTTTTTTGACATGTGGACAGCATGTCCTTTGTCAGAACTGTTTTGATGGGATATGGTTCGTGCTACCGTCTTTCCCCGAATACAAAGTACGGTCATTATAGCTGTATCTAGACTGAAAGATGCCTCAAATACAGCTATAATGACCGTACGTTGTATTCGGGGGAAGAAGGTAGGTAGCCGTCCTGCTGAATGCTGTGCTGGGGCAGCTCTTCCCGATGAGTATCCTTTGTGAACATCCACGTCATTCTCAGCGTGGCTGTCCTATCAGCTGGGGGGGGGTGGGGGCTCCTCTTCCTGATTGGTGAATAGAATCAAGAAGCAGGTAGGTCAGGAGCAACACTAATTGTTGTAGGACAGATAAAGCTTTCGACACTACCAACAGATACGGAGTTGAAGAAAGAAGAAAAAAAAAATTGAAAAAAAAAAACGAAAAAAAAGAAAAAAAGAAAAAGAGAAAGAAAAAAGAAAAAGAGAAAGAAAAAAGAACGAATTGCTGAAGAAAGAAAAAAGAGAACAAAAAAAAAGAAAATAAGAAAAGAAGGAAAAATTATGTTGAAAAGAAAAAATAGTGAAAACAAGAAAAAGAAAAAAAGAAAAAATATGTTGAACTTTGTTGTGATAGTGGCAATTGGTTTTATCTGTGGGATGTGTGTCACATTTGCTTTGTTTGACTGATAGGCTTTCCTCACCCCTCTTCCTCACTCCTCTACCTCACCCCTCTTCTTCCTCCTTTCTCCCTCTCTTCTTCGTCGCCTTTCGCGGAGTTCATTGCATTTGGTCGTGTATTGACCATGTATGGAAGCATGCACCAAAGACACTTCTTAGCCTCTTGTTTATCACTATTCCTCTTGCTAATCTTCTTCCTCCTCCTCGTCTTCCTCCTATCCATTCCTGTTCCTCCCCCCTCTTCTTCCTCCGGCTGCGCTTCTTTCTCGTCCTCCTCCTCCTCTTCCTCCCCCTCTTCTTCCTCTTTTCTCCCTTTTCTTCTTCCTCCTGCCGCGCTTCGTCCTCCTCCTCCTCTTCTTCCCCCCTCTTCTTCCCCCCTCTTCTTCCCCTCTCGTCTTCCTCCTTTCTCCCTCTTCTTCTTCCTCCTGCTGCGCTTCTTCTTCCTCCTCCTCCTACCCATTCCTGCTTCCCCCCTCTCTTCTTCCTTCTGTCTCCCTCTTTTTCTTCCTCCTGCTGCGCTTCCTCCTTCTCCTCCTCCTCTTCTTCCCCCTCTTCTTCCCCCCTCCTCCTCCTCCTCCTCCTCCTCCTCCTCTTCCCCCCTCTTCTTCCTCCTTTCTCGCTCTTCTTCTTCCTCCTGCTGCGCTTCTTCCTCCTCTTCCTCCCCCCTCTTCTTCCCCCCTCTTCTTCCCCCCTCTTCTTCCTCCTTTCTCCCTCTATTCCTCCTGCTGCGCTTCTTCCTCCTCCTACTCCTATGCTTTCTGTTTTAGTGGCCCGCTCTCTTTCTCATTCTTCATCTTGCTCGTCATGTAAAAGCGCTGAGGGGAAGGACCGGGGGGAGGGGAAGGGGTCGAGAGGGGAAAGGGTTAAGGGAAAGGGGGGAGGACTAGAGAGGTAGGGCGGGGCGGGGCGGGGGGGGGGGGGGAGGACAAAGGGGTAGAAGAGGGGTAGAAGAGGGGTAGAAGAGGGGTAGAAGAGGGAGGAGGAGGGGAGAATGGAGGATTACGAGAAAGAAGATGTGCAGGAGGAATGGCATCGGGGGGGTGATTAATTCAAGGGGCCTCAAAGACAATGGGGGGCCTTGGAAGATAATGGTCCTCGGAGGTCGGACTTCTTTTCAAAAAAAATTCGCAGCACTTGTTTTAGCCGTTCTTCAGTTGAATTTTCGTTCTTGCAGTTTGTTTTTTTTTTTTTTTTTTTTTTTTTTTTTTTTTTTTTTTTTTTTTTTTTTTTTTTTTTTTTTTTTTTGGTTCTCGTTAGTCTTAGTTGATCGCTTTTTTGTCTCCTAATGCCGAATCAAAATAGTATGATGTTTAGTTGTCTTAGTTGATTTTGTCGTTAGTTTTAATTGATTGCTTTTCTGTCTCCCAACTGATTGATTAATTACCCAGTGGTCTATATCTATCGATCCAGAAATCAATTGGTCGATCACTTTGATGGATTGGATTGGTTTGGATTGATTGGATGGTATATTTGCATTGGGTTTGATTGATTGGGTTGGATTGGATTGATTGATTGGGAGATTGATTCATTCTTGATTGGGGGGATTGATTGGATTGATTGATTTTATTTGAGTGGATTAAGGGATTTATTGATCGGACGGTGGAAAGTTATGGAAAATATCTTCGAGAAAATAATCAAATTAATGGTAGCTCTAATGTTTGATTGATTGGTTGATCGATCGATTGGTCGATCTGCGGAAGAGAAAACGACATGAAAGAACATTTCAAGAATGTATATAATCAATTGAAGAAAGTAATCAATTACAGAAAGTATCAATTAATCTTAGCTCTAAGATTTGGTTGGTTGGTTGATTGATTGATTGATTGATTGATTGATTGATTGATCGGTGGAGGAGAAAAGCTATGGTTACGATCTAATTGATTGATTGATTGATTGATCGGTGGAGGAGAAAAGCTATGGTAATGATCTAATCTACGGAAAGGAACTAAGTTGCGTGAAAATAAGCAATTGATTGATTGATTGATTGATTGATTGATTTTGATTGATTGATTGATTGATAAATTGATTGATTTTATTGATTGGTTGGTTGATTGATTGGTTGGTTGATTGATTGGTTGGTTGATTGATTGATTAGGCATGGAAAGGAACTAAGTTTCGGGAAAAGAAAAACCACTTACTAATTGCAAGGAAAAGTAGCAATCAATGATATCCAAGAAAGTAGTCAAAACTAGTCGTAGCTTCATACTGGAGGCATCGTTAGCGGTTTTTTTTTTGTTAACTAGTA